GAAGGACTTAAGTTGGGGAATAGAAGCAGGAGACCTCTGAGAAACAAACTGGTACCAGATCCCTCTTAAGTCTCCGTATTTGAAAAACAACCTGAAATTACATCACTGAAATTCTTGATGATTTGGTCAATGATCTTTTCTGGATGATCTTAGTGTACTTAGACTACACTTTGACCATCCCTCTTCGGGCACAACTCCTGGTGGCTTCACAATCACATTCATCTACTGAGCTTAAATCTTCTCAGTGTTATGGGCAAGAAAAAGATGGTGAGGAGTACAAACTGGACAAGGATGAAGAAAAAGGTCTTTGTTCTCCCTTGCCGAAGGCCTGGGCAAAGAGTCAGGTCTTCAAGGCCCTTCTAAACAGCAGCAGGGTAGGGGCAATCTGGCTCTTGGGGGAACCTCATTCCAAAAGGCAGGCACTGCTACAGAGAAGGCAGATGATAGATGTCATGGTTTAACTGAAGAGACCCGGAGCGTGCCAACCATGTGGAAACATGGAAGAAAAGAGAAGAAGAGGATGACCAGCAGCAAGGTGGATGGACTCAGTTACAGCACTGATGGATGTACCATTGAGAGACTTGAAGGATCAAGTTGGGGACAGATCATCCTGGAGAAGGCCTATCTCTATGTTGACACCAACTGGATGGCATATAACTAATCAGTCAATGGAACTGATGTGCCACTGCTATAGCCTTGTTTTAAGGAAACAACATACAAGTGCCAGGGAAATTAAAGTTAAGGAAAAAAGAGAACAAAAAGAAGTAGATATGGCCTGGGGAGAACTTTCAGCTTGGCGGTAGGCCAAATATGGATTGGAAACTTTCTGCTTCTGACTTAGCCTCACTCTTAATCAATAGATATCAATAGATACCAAATTCAGGAATATTGTTCCACCTGCATTTCTGACTCTCCCTACCCAGAAAACTAGTGTACATCTCTAGAAATACACAATGCTGGTGGGGAGAGTTTTCACAGGTATGATAGAATGATTGCACAGAGCAATAAGGAGGGCTATTACAGGGATAATGATTTTTTTTTCTCAGATTGTGAACACGTGAAGTCCTTTTCTTAAGGGAACTAAGAAGTGGGAGCTCATGTAGAAATATTTAAAAAGTAGCTGGAAAGGAATAGAAGACTGTCGTTTGGGTAAAACCTGTACTTAGCATCACAAAAGGAAATGAAAAGCATAGAAGAATAGCATTGAGAAGTTTGGGAGGGTGGGTGAGAAGTCAACCAACTTGCAAAGGGGATGTTATAAAAATAAACATGGGCAGGTTCCAGGAATAATTAGAGGAGAAAAGCAAATATTGAACATGGAGCAATGAGAGGTTGCGGTCAATGAATGATAAAAAGCTTTTCAGATCTATTATTAATAGACAGAAGATAAAAAAGAAAAGTCAAAGATTTTTTTTAAGCGTGATGGAGAAGTCAGACAAAAGGAAGGTCAGACAAGAGGGCTTTTGTAAGGATTCTAAAAGGGATGGAGAAGAAACCAAAAGGGATTTTAAAGTTTTAGAAGGAGTTTGAATTTTAGGGAAACAGAAGGTCGTTGTCCTCAGCACCTGAGGGTTTTTTAGGGCCAGCTCGTGCCCAAGAAAATAATGATCTGTAAGTCAGCAACTAGAATGGTGCAGGTGAAGCCTGCCCTGTTTTACATGCATCATGCCTAAAAAGGGGCGGGGCTTGATCACCCTGTGCAGCCACCATCTTGAATGTTTTTGATTCCCCTCGCTGCAGGATGTAGTAAAATTCACCAATACACCCATAAAATGGCCACTTAAATTTCCCAGAAAAGAAGAGGGTCTCATTTTTGTGATTCTGTGACCACCTGAAACAATAAGCTAGTTGATGTGACCTCCGTCCTCTGCCCATGAATCAATCTAATGACTTAATGGGGTTAAGGTTGGGCAAGAAATAAATATGCTGCTTGTCTTTAATTACATTGTAATCTATCTTTCAGTCAGATCAATGATAGAATCTTTCTTCTTCACAAGATCAAAAGGATAAACATGTTAAACTTCCCTAGCATGTACAAACTTTCCAAAAATGATTTAGGTGCTTTGGTTTTAAGGTAATATAATATTATGATGGTTGTTCTTATTGTATTATGGATTTTTCCCTTATAGATCACCAAGATGTGTATGATTGTATTGGTTTTAAAATCTAGTTAATGAATGAAAGAATGAGCTCATTCCTACACACCATGCTGGTGGAGATATTAGACACACAGAGATATTTCTGAACTGTTAGTGAAAAATTCAATAGATGGTCAATTTCGATTATGGTTGGTCACGTGGTCACAGGCTATACTCTGTAGAAATTAGAATTCTGGGTCCTTCAATTGTCTTTGAAAACCCTAATCCATGAAATACATTCAAAATTGTGACCACTCCCAAATTGCTTGTGAACCTCTGGGGTGGTGGGTTGTGATCATGGCCCACAAATTGAGAAATGGGCCATAAAGCTTAGAAGCCATACCACAAATTGTCCCAGGTGTGGTTTATTCAGACAGCAAATTCTAGGTTTCCACTGAAGACTGCCATAATGACTCACATAAAGTCTGATAATGCTGCTGGAATATTTGGCCCTGGTGAAGTTTCATAGATGGTTCTTCAGCCGAGCCATTTGATACACAGAAGCCTCAGTGTTAGAACCTCCTGAGTTTCTGGAGATTTGATAGCCTCCATATCATAGATAAAAATATAGATAAATAAACTGAAGATAGTCTCAGTGGAGATGTCAGCTAATGCAACCTGGAGAAAATATCTATACATACCCACATGTGCATACACAGTTTTATAAATTGTTTTATAAATAAACTCAGTTCCCCAACAAAGTATGATGAGAAATCAGACTTCCTTCAAGCTCCATTTGTGCCAAATGTTTACATTGGTCTGGGTTGAATGATTAGAAACTACAAACATCATTTAAAAAGAAAAATATCCAAAATGAGGGGGGGGGGAATTCAGATGCTGCTTTCCAGATGCACTCCTTCAGGCTTACCTGCAGTGTTTTCCCACTTGAGCCTGTCTTGACACCTTCTAACTTACAATTGATCAATCAGGACAGAACAGTCTGATTCTTTTTTTTAATGAGCTCAGCTCAGTTAAAAGTTCCTGATGTTAGTTTTCCATTACTCAATTGATTACCAAGCTTTCTCGGTCTTCTATTCCTGATGATTCTGGATTGCAAGCAATAAAGCTAAATCTGACATTATTCTCAGAGAAACAACAGGAGAGACCACTGTCCCTAAAGCGTGATGGATGGATGTGAATCATTCTGTTTTCTTTGAAGCCACTCTATCCATTTTTTTTAAAGAAATTGATCTCTCCTCCTTTCTTCTGCAACCCAATTTTAATTCTTACCTGGGGGAGGGAGATTGGATGAAGAGCTAGACCAAGTCTCCTTTACCAAATACTTTTACTCAACTAAAAAATGTAATGGCGTTTCTTGGTCCTTCAACTAGGCTATTAAATGAAGGGAGGGAGAGCTGTGAGTAATGCTGGGAGCTGTATTGACTAATGGTTATAGCAGGAATTTAGCCTGAGCGCTAGTTGCATTATGTAGTTAAGGTAAGGCCAAAATGATTTCCACGCAGACTGAAGATGCTGAAGGGGAACTGAATGGATGTGTGCGCTGCAAAGTGATGGGGGTGACAATGGATTTTATTCCCAGGAGACAGAGCATCATGTGACTGTTTTGTAGTACAATCAGAAAGCTGAGGTTGGGAATCCACAAGACCGTTTTGCAGCTCAGAGAAGGGGCTTTGGAAGTCTTCTAGTCTATCTCCCTGTCCAGAATCTTCTGACCATCCCAGAACAAATGGCCGTCCAACCTTTGCTTGAAAACCTCCAGTGATAGAGCACCCATGAGTCAAGTAAGCAAGACCAAAGAGATATCATAGTCAGGAAAGTCCTCCTTATTTTGAGTTTAGATCTCTCTCTGTTAAGCTTCCAACCCATTGATTCTTGTCCTACATCTACCCGCTCTTCCCTGGGACAGCCCTTTCAGGATTGGCAGACTGCTATCATGTCTTTCCTTAGCTTTCTCTTCATGCTAAACACATCCCGTTCTTTATCTATTCTTCAAAGGGTTGAGCCTCCAAAACTCTCAGGCTCAGTAAAAGCAAATAGTAGGATACCAAGTACAGAAGGCTGATTTTCTGTGGGTTCTCACTTGCAAAAGAGGTGTCGTAAGCTGATGGAAGGCTTTTTATTAAACTCCATCCTAAAATAGTTGAACCTTCTGGTTCCACCCTATTGGCGATGCCATTGCACCACCACTGCAATCTGTTGGTCCCCTAGATGCTGCCAAAATGGATCAAAGATGTCTCTGACTGTCTCCATATGTAAAAAAGCAGATGCCTTTCTGTTATACAGAAGGAAGACTAGTTACCTTCCATCCCAGAGTCTTCATGTAGATCTGAGAAAAACTAGTCTGGAAACCCTAGTAAGTCACTGTTGGGAACTGTGGACCTGACCAAGCTGGATGTTCAAAATGTGTGTCCTGCACAAGATTTGTATTCCTTCCTTTTCATGCTTCTGTGGTGTTTCCATTGGATTGAAATTCTAGTATTATGGCTGAGAGGGAATCTCTCTCAGCTTTGCCACAGAGCGCACTAGCGATTCCTTCGCTTTTCAACATTCAAGAGCTGAGAGACATTTGTAGCTGGTGCCCTTTGTGGAAATTGGATCAGCTACACCCAAGGTGGGTCAGACTTGGAAGATTCTGAATTTTCAAAGGAGAAAAGTAAAAAAAAAAAAAATCCTTCTGAAACTGAAACTGAAAGAAAAAAGTCTCCAAATAGTCCCAGTGAGGAGAGAGCATAGAGGGAAGGGTCTTACTGTCTTCTCTGTCTTTTCCATCTGAAGATATCTGCTATGCTATGATTGAGTTGACCTTGTCGATATTTGCAGATGATGTTCTTTGTTAGTTCTTACCTTCCTGTTTTTGCTAATACTTTTCTCTTCTCCACCCTCCATCTCCTACATTTCTAGGCCTTTGGTGCTACGATTCCCAGGATCCTAAATGTGGTAAGTACTGGAGACAGACTTCTGAAATCTATAACATACTTTGAAGATACTCTTGGAAAGATTTTTGGTGAATGTATCTCTCAACTGTAATCTGAGATATCCTTCCCCAACATGGTACCTTCAGATGCAATAGGAATGCATCTCAACAACTCTCAGCCAGCATGGTCAATGGAAAGAACAGTCCCAAAGCATCTGGAGGACATCAGGTTGGGAAGTGTGGTGTAATGTAATGGGAAATGCTAGGAAGATTTTCTTACCGGTACAATATGAAGCAAGTATTTGAGAGGCCAAGCTTAGAGATTCTTGGGTAGAGGTTTGCAGGTTTTATATCTAACTAAAGATGGTGTGAATCAAACCCTAGGTTTGCTTTATATTTGTATTCCAAACATAAGATATTTTACTCTCAGAGATGTTAATGAAATGAACAGTGCAACTATTCTGTGTTTATTTCAGGTCCTTCTCCTCCACTCCTCCATTTCTCCTCCATTCCTCCTCCATTCCTCCTCCTCCTCCTCTTCCTCCTCCTCCTCCTCCTCCTCTGTCTTGGCTTTTTAAAATTATATATGTCTATTAAATTATTATTTTAATTAATTAAAAT